GTGACGACTAAACGAACTGATGACATCTGACAAATATCCAATTCCACACATACACGACTTCACTCATTCGTTAGACGGAAAAACAATTTTTACGACACTGGACCTCCAAAAGGCATATCACCAAATACCAATGGCCCCAGAAGACCGTGAAAAGACAGCAGTAATTACCCCAAAAGACTCGGTCTTTTTGAATATAACGTAATGCCATTCGGTTTAAAAAATGCGGCACAAACATTCCAAAGATTTATGGATGTTGTTCTTCAAGGGAGTCTAGACTTTGCATTTTGTTATATCGACGATCTACTTATCGCCTCCGCTAACGAATCCGAACACGAAAATCACTTAAAACAGATATTCGAACGATTACAACAATACGGAATGTCTATAAACTCAGCCAAATGCGTATTCGGTGCGTCATCCGTACAGTTCCTGGGGTACCTTATTGACCAAAAGGGAGCCAGGCCTGTACAAGAAAAAGTAAAAGCCATAACGAATTATAATAAACCGACAAACATTTCGGAATTAAGACGATTTTTAGGCATGATCAATTTTTACCGTAGATTCATTAAAAATACTGCTTCTGTACAAGCGCCGTTAAACATATATCTACAAGGCGCCAAGAAAAACAACAAAAGACCTATTACTTGGACAGCGGAAACCGACAAAGCATTTAACGAATGTAAAGACTCGCTAAAAAACGCTACGCTCTTAACACATCCAAAAAATAATACATCTCTACTCCTTTCAACAGATGCTTCTAATGTAGCTTGCGGAGTTGCGCTGCAACAAAAAGTCAACGAAAATTGGGAACCAATAGGTTTCTTTTCAAAAAAATTCTCTCCCCAAGAAATTAAATATAGTACATATGATCATGAACTCACGGCTATATTTAAGGCAATAAAGTATTTCAAACACTTATTAGAGGGACGAGACTTTACAATACAGACTGACCATAAACCGTTGACATTTGCTTTCGTACAAAAATCAGAAAAAGCCTCACCGAGACAGCTACGACAATTAGATTATATTGGACAATTTTCTACGAACATAATTCACATTTCGAGATCTAATAACGAAGTAGCAGATGCTTTATCACGGCTGGATGTTA